CCTCTGGCTGGGATGGAGGTTGATCTGAAGGGGGCATAAGGGAACTTTCTAGGGTAATAGGAATGCTCTGTGTCTGGACCTGGGTGATGACTGCACAGGGTATATATTTCCCAAATATGTTTTGCTGTATACTTAAAATTGGTGCATTTACCCAATGCTAATTAACCTTAATAAAAAGTTAGCATGAAAAATGAATTACTTCTAAAACAATCAATAAACATAAAGCACAAACAATATACTATACATATGAATACTTCTCAGGTTCATGTGCTAATGTGAAGAGAGGCAGACAGATGGGCGAAAGAACTTTAAAACCAGGACAGAAAATTTTATAACTTATCAAAATAGGTGAACTATCATTTTTTAATAAGACAAAAATATGTATATAAATCCTTTATGAGACTTTCTGCTCTGAACTGTCACAAGCATGCTGGAGGGACTCCAGGAGTAATTTCTATTCTAGCTGACTCCAAATTATAGCAGATAATCCCAACACTTCCTATTTGAGTATTTTACTCAGTAACTGCCACAAGAATGCTTATAGATCATTTTTGAGCAAAATTTGGTTTCCTCGAAAAGAGTGTTTCAGACATTACAAAAAAGTTGCATATGAGTTTCAAAATTTGTACACAAACCACAAATAGCCTCACATATCTGACAATTAGTCAACTGTTTAGTAATTTTTAAGTAAATTTAGTAATTTCTAGCAATAATTATAATTTAGCTAATATTTCATAAGAAAGCATAATTATGAAGTAAAGGTATTAATTTGAATATAATTTTGAAAGTCAGTTTAGCAATAAATTTTACCATATAATTTAAAATCACTTTGATTTATATTTTTCTTTACACATGTTAATAAAAGTACATTGTAAACAAAGATATTTACTAAGAAAAGCATAATGCATATTAGCTTTAATTTTATTCCCACAAAATTAAGCTAAATATATCCATTAAAATTGCTTTTGTAGAACTTTCACTGTTGAAAAGATTCTGAAAGATTCTATGAGGGGGGAGAAAGAATACATTCAGAGCAACTAAAAGAAGAAATAATAATTTTCTACATACTGTTTTTTTCCATAGCTGGTACCATATAAATTTAACCAATTTTACTATTAAATTCTACCAAATGAAAATGAAAAAAAAAGTTCAATATCATTACAATAATATTTTCCTACAATATACTTACATTGGAAAATATCTGGCTCCAAAAAATATTTACAAAACTATCTTTTAGGTCATAGAGATTATTGTATGGAAATACGGTAAAAATATTTTATGACTTTTATCATAGATATGAAGGGTCAGCAAACATTTTCTGTACAGAGCCAGATAGTTAGTATTTTAAGTTTTGCTGGCCACATACAATCTCTATTGCATACCCAGCTAAAAACATAAAAGCCATTTTTAGCTTGAGGTCTACACATTAACAAGTGGCAGGGTGGATTTGGCACACAGGCCATACTTGGCTGATTCCTGATAAAGATCACTAATAACACAAATGTATCATAAAAAGACTAGCAGTTATTTTAAAAGTTCAAATCTTTTATTTTTATGTTATCTAAAATAGATCTCCCCAAATACAAATTCTGTTCCTGCGTGGTATCACCCACGCCAATGCCAAAGGCAAACCCTGGACTCAGTTAACATCAATATGAAGGTGAGTAACTGTCCCTTCTCCCCCTTTCTGGTAACTTACTGAAATCCACTTACTCTGCAAGGATCAGATCTTGAATCCTTCTCTCATGATTAACATGTCATAGTGATTTCCTCCTTTTCTAACTCCTTTACATTTAGTGTGTTAAGACTTTACACCACTCAGCATCTTGTCAGTCATATAGAATCCTTTGTAAAAATAAAATACTTTTAATAATTTAAAACCTCATCATATATTGTCTGTTATACTAAATTTCTTATGTGTGAGTTTAAAGTTGTTTCTAAAGTAGAACGTAAGGTCCTTATGGCCAAAGACTGTGACCTCTTCTTTTTTGTGTGTTGATTAGCAAAAGCCTGCTGGTAGTGGTGGTGGTAAGTACTTTCAGGCAGCTCACAGAGCTGATCTCACTTTGAGCACCATGGGAAGTGAAGACCTCAGGGCAATTGGTCTCTTGTGCAGACGGAAGTGTATGAGAAGTCAGAACAAAGCGAGAGGAAGACCTTAAAGTGGATCAGCTTTCCACCAATGATGTGTCCTCCCCTTTCATAGTGTAGAGTTGTTGCTAGGAAGGGGCCACCCACCCAGGGTCTGTATTTCGTAGCTTCTCATGCAGTTGGATTACATGACTAGTTCTTGATGATGGAATGTGAGTAAAAATGATGTAAGCTCCTTCCAGAGCTGTCCCATAAAAACCTTCCACTATCCCCTGCCTGCCCACTGGATGTCAACACTCAAGGCATATTAAAAGCCACATTGCTAAAGAGTCTGTCAGCTTGGATCCTTGAATGAACTATACAGAGGAGAGCCCTACTGTAGATTGGATGTTAAGTGAGCAAAGAATAACTTTCTATTATGTTAAGCCATTAACCTTAAGGGTTTATTTGCTTTAGCAGTTCATGTTACCTTATTTAGAACAGAGGATCTCTCTTTGGTGACTGGAGTGACCTGAACATTGTTCAACTGTCTGTTGGCATTCAATAATGCTGTAGAGAAGTCTAGAGACAATCTCATTTATCCCCCTCAGTTTGTGACTTGCTTATTATATTTACTTTGAGTTGAACTCAGCCACTCCAGGAATGATTATACTCTTGACAATGTCAATATCAATATGCTAATACAAGAATGCAGAATAAGTCCTTTGAAATCGGCTGTATCATGTAAAACATGCAGAATGTCTTTTTAAAGGTGAGATAAAGAGCTACTGTAACACAAAAAACTTATGTTTCCTTTTCTGGAATTTCTTCTTTCCATTCCTGAAAATGCAATGCAGAGTAACTACCAGTATGAAGACACATTTGTATGAAGGCAGTATGGATACTGTCAAGATAAACCAGTTCTGTTAATGTGATTGCACATCCTTTGAGTGTATATTTCCCTATCAACATCTTAGAAATTTAAAATCAAGTCATTTCTGATTTCATCCATGCATTTTAGAAGGGTGCAGTGAAACTCTAAATCTTCTTTTTTCAGATCATAGGAATTTCAGTGGTGAGGAAATTTTGAGCCAGATCCATTGCAGTTTAAATTCAAATTTTTTTTTCTGGGAGTAGAATACATTATAGTGAATAAAAGAGCCTTAAAACAGTTTTTTTAGTTATTCTGTTTTTTATGAAGTCCAAGATATATAGAATTTTAAAGTTTCCCCTTAAAAATAATTCAGCTACTCTTCCTGCCCTGAGAATAAAGTCCAAACTTCTAAGCATGATTTATATGTTCTTGTTAAGACTCTTGTTTCCCTCTTTACTCCACGTTCCCACCACTATGCCTCTTGTATTCTATGCACCAGCCACTCTGAATTCATTTCTTTTTCTCCAGTGTGCTTTGATCTCTTTTACCTCCTGCCTTTGCACATACAGTCCCCTCTGCCAAGGTGTAGTACTCACCTCCTCCCTCCCATTCCTTCAGCTTAGATGTCATTTCTTTCTCATAGCTTCTTCTACCTTTCAAAGCCAGGTTAAGTGAACTTCTTGTGTCCGTCTTCAATACCTTATTCTTTATTGAAGATATAACACTTTATATTATAATTGAAGTTTAGTGGTCAGTGTCATTTAGATGGCAGTCTTTGTAAGGTCAGGGTGAATCTTTTTAATGATGCTAACACTATAGCCTAACATAGAACACGGAACATAGTAGGTGCTCAGAAAATATTAATTCAGTGTTGCTGAATCTAGAACAACCCTTATCTGATGTTGTAGTCTACCACAACACATAGAAGATGATATCACTGATCCACCAGCAAAAGGACACTTGTCTTGAATTGTCTGATCCCCAGGATCACTTGAGACCAAAGAACTAAAGTGGGAAGAATGGGGTATAAGGCCCACATTGTCCTTTGTATAGTAAATAATTATATTCAGTGACCAAATTCGTGACCTTGAACTCATTACATTCTAACTGAAATAGGATAATAGAGACTGACTCTAAAATAATCAAAATGGATATAAACACAATTCACAAAACAAATAAATACCTCTCTGATTTGGATAATTTAAGCTTGTAATATCTTTCTTCTAATCTGGACATTTAGGTAAGATGACCCAGAGCAGCAGCGGACGAGACCAGCATGCTGCCCTCCCATGCCCGCTCAGCAGCATGCCCACGGACTTGGGGTTCCTTTTTGAACTAACATTTGACTCGATCCACAGTATTTCTGACCTTGTATATTTTGCTCTCTCAAAAGAGGCTCTTGATATTGATCTCCCTGTCCCCATCTTAAATGCAGTCTTCTATTTCTAATCATGGTCTTCCAAAATCACCTTCTTGCTCCAAGCTTCACTCTTGCCTAATTACAGTCAGTATCAAAACAAGCTGTCCTCCACATTCCTAGGATGGAGACTTCTGCCTGCTGTCATTCCCACCACCATGATGGCAACACTCCTGGCTGACTCAAGGCCTCAGAACTTGGCTCTTAAATACCAGGGCTTCCAGGAGGATTTGGGGCATTAAGGTATGGGGGTGGGTTCAGTGGGGAGAGAAAATGTTTACCTGCTACTATTTTTCTGTGATACACGAGTACAGCAGAACTAGAGAGACTTTAAGAAAATGGCAGCATCACATTTGGAATTCTTCTTTGGCCACAGCCTGTGATGCAGAAGTAGAAAAGCCCTTACTTAGCTCTATATCACAGCATCTTCAGTTCACCAGCGCATCCTCGCTCACAAGGCTGGATGAAGGAGGCTTATACAAGGGGTGTTTGCCAGAGTCAGTCAACCACAGAGTATTATTGAGAGTGTTAAATGGGACAGTTAGAGGCAAATTTAAAACTCAAAGCGTCAATCAATGCTTTTGGTTTACACTGATATTATATGTGTAAATGCTCAGCAATCCATGGCTGAGTTTTTACCTTGTGTAACTGATAATACTGGTAGGCACCAATTCCACCTTGTTCCTCTGCAGTCCAGAGCACCAGGCGCAAAGTCCTCTTCGGACGCAGCCCTAGGAAAAATAATAAAATTTAAAAGTGAGACTGCAGTTGATTTTGAATTTTTAAAAACTGGCAGGGCCCCTCATCTGCATTGTGGAGGCAAAGGGGAATCAGAGGCACTCATCTCTCACTGGTATGGCTGCCTGCTTCAGGGTATGGCTGACAAAGCAAAGGAGCAACCAGGGCAGGGTAATGGAGAAAGGGGTTCTGACAAAAGCTATCTGCAGGCCAGTAAGTGGGAGCCTCTGAGCACATCCTTAACTGGATAGCCTGTCCAGCAGGACCCAATGGATGGCCCAGTTCAGCAAGATATTAAATTGCATCCAGAAGATGCAGTTAAGAGGACCCTAAGCAGATCATGGGTCCTTCTGGCGATCTTAATTGAAATAAAATCATTTGGCTCTACTTCAAGACAAGGTGTATAGGGGATTACTTCTTAGTCTAAATACATAAGCATAGCTAGCTGCCCACAGTATCTTCAGTAATGTAATAACTGAAAAGCAGATGCAACATATATGCCTGATCATGGCCGATTTCTTCTCCTACTTGGAAATACAAGATCATTCACTTCAAAATTAATTGAATGAGGATTTCATTTATTTACCTTATTACTGCACGAACAGCTTGGTAGCATATTTTATTGACTTGTGATATACAAATTTGTATCCTGGAGTTATTAAAAGTTAATGGCAGATCTGGCAGATCTAGAACCATTTTTGGGTGACAATGTCTGCTCAGTAAAAGTTAACTTCAGGGAAGCTGTTTTCTGAACTTAAAAAAATGGTGAAATAGTATGCTAAAATTCCACTTTGTGAGCAAGAATTAAAATCAATTCCGATTCGGACTTGATACTGTTATTTCTGAGACATAACAAAGGCATACAAATATAAAGCTGTACTTAAAAATCTTATTAGGAGGATTCATTTTCCCACCTGCTCAGAGGGAAGCCACAGGGAAGGACTGAAATGTACTTCGAGTAGCTGCGATGGACACTACAAATCTCAAGTATAACCACGTGTGCCGCCAACCGGGCGCGTGGACTTCAAAGCTGCAAGCTTGTCAGCTGCAGCGTGGGTGACAAATGCTCCTGGGACATGGAGCCTTTCCGGCCCCCTCCAGGCACCTCCAGGCATTCTCCTTTCCTAAGCCTAGAGCTAAGGAGCTCAAAAGAAAGAGCTACATTTTTTCACTAAATTGAATATAGTTGTGAAGTCACTTTACACTTTAGTATTTTAACATAATTAAAAGAGCACAGGTTTAGGTTGTAGGCTGACCTGAGTTCTAGTTAAAGACTGGACAAATGATTTCCACATTCAATTCCTCAGCAATCCCATTGGCATTTCCATCTAAGTCCATCTACAATCCAGCTTCTCATCTGGGTCACCACTTGGGTCCAAGTCCCCAACACCTGCTGCTTGGATTGCTGCGATCACCTCCCAACTGGTCTCCTGCCACAGTCCTCACCTCTGGGCAAGTGATGCTCCACACTGTAGCCAGGAGGACCTTTGTAAAACCTAAGCTGGCCCTGTCATTTCACTGCTCAGAACCTCTAATAACCAGAATGTAAGCTTCTGGAAGGCAGGGGTTTATGTTTTTTAATTCATTGATGTCTCCAGTTCCCAGATTGTTAGGCATGTATTAGGGGCCCAACAAATAAGTACTGAAGGAATAAATTAATGCAAAGCTTGGTATCTTGATTAGAACAGAATTCAAAGCCACTTCCCCAGCCTCATATCCTAAAACTGTTCTCCTAGCTCTTTCCCAGGCAAGGTGTTATATTTGACAAAGGCAGACAGATCTGAAGAATCCTACTATTAGTAGGTGCTAGCTGTGTAACCACTGGGAAATTGATCTACCTGAACTTCAGACTCCTTATCTGAACAGTGGAGATAATATTACATACCCACGCCTTAACTCTTTCACAGGTGCTGATGAGAATTAAATGAGATGTGATAACGTATGGAATACAACGCTGTGGCTGGCATGTAATTGGCATTCAATAAATGAACTATAAAACCACACAATAGGTATCTAGGCACAGAGCACACACTCTCATCCCCACAGAGGAGAAGGGGCATCTAAATGCCCAGAAAGGAAATTCTTTCAAAGGCCTGTGAGCACTTGGCACAGAAGAATCCTGGGGTGCCCAGTGCTTGCTCCACAGCCAAACCATCTGCTCACATTTATAGTACAAACTTAACAGACTGTTTTCTGAGGAAGAAATCTAATCAGTATTGCTAAAGATCACAATCTTTGATTTCTCTAAAAGAGAAGTGCTCGGACTCAATTTAAGTCAAATGATATTTTGCTTGCAACATAGGAAAAAATAAGAAAGAATAAACTACTATTGTTTATATTCTGCAAATAAAAATTCTAAACATTTTTTTTAAATCCATAAGGAAAAAAATACTCTTTTTACATATCTCTGCACCTACCAGCAAAACAATATCAAATTATTAAAATGATAGAATTCTCTAAATAAGGATGAACAGGCAGCACAGGCTATTCATTTTATAAAAGCAAATGTTCTGAATATCCCTATAGATTTGGTGTGTCACTCGAAAGTTATTATCATATAGGATTAGTCTCCTTCACATTCTAAATCAGCCAGATGGCCAACGATGTCATATTAAGGTAATAAAGCAGTAATCAGTTTGAAGTGAGGAATGCTAAGGCCTTAAAACAACAACAGCATAGCTGTTGGTGTGTAGCTGGCCCTAAAAAAGACTAACAGAGCCTCATCAAGCCCTTGAGAAGCTCAGCACCCATTAGCACGGAACACTAGCATCTACTTCACAGAGAGAAGGGCTCTATAAGGAGGTGAGGAACCCAGTGGTTTAGAAAATACCTGAGTCCAAAGTCTCTTTCCACTCTGATGATCTGATTGTCTTTGGACCTAAGAGAAATGCACAGGACTTCATTCAGTAATTGGACCCTAAACCTAGTGTGGAGTTTGGGCCCCTTGGCCACCAAAGTCCATGATGGACAGCATGGGTTATGGAAAGGCATTGGCTATGGAGTCTGAATGAGCTGTGTTTCATTCCTGGCTCTGCCACTTCTGGCTCTGTGAGATTAGTTACCTAATCTCTTTGAGAATAAATTTCTTAATAAAGAAAATGGTAATTACCTTATGGGATTGTTAGAAAATTAAATGGGACAAGGCAAATATACATCATGCACAGTCCCTGGCACACAGCAGGTTTTTGAGAATTGTTTATTAGCTTCTCTTTCCATCACTGTAGAGAACTTTCCAGTGTGTGCTAACAGTGACTAGGGAGAGCATGTGGGGGAAGTAGTGTCAGGTGTGTTTGTGTTGGGGAGTTGTTGTCCTGGTCCTTTGGCTCCTTGCTTGGAAGAATCGCAAGCAGAGCCAGCGCGATGGAATGAGGACAGACATGAAGCAGTTCCACACAAGCAGCCTTTATTGCAAAGCTAAAGGTACAAAGCAAAAGTGCGTTGCAGAGGAGGATGGGTCTGTCTCATGAGTGGAGAAGACCCTGGGGTCTTAACATACTTCTACTTTTATGTCTACACCTTTTGATATGCTAAATGGTGGGTGGAATATTCATTATTTTTCTGGGAAAAGGGTGGAGATTTCTTGGAGCTAAGGGTCCTCCCCATTTTTATCCTTATAGAGTAACTTTCAGGGGTTGCCATGTCATTTGTAAACTGTCATGGTGCTGGTGGGTGTGATTTTTACTATGCTAATATATGTTAATGGAGAAAAGGTCACCTTTGGTCATGAGCTCCTAGTTTCTGTGCATGCTCCTGGTTGGGAAAAGTTCCTATACTTAAGTTCCTGCTGTTGCAGGTTTGGTTCTGGATGCTCAATGGCCTGCTCACATTCACCCCCCTCCTCTTTTCCTGTGGTTAGTGCTGCCATCCTGCACCTGTCCCTAAAGATAGGTCAGAGGCGTGTTATCATGCCGCTTTCTGAGGAGCCTCAGAACACCTTTGTTTATACAGAATACATACACCCAGCCAAGGCAAAAAACACAGGATTCTGTCTAACTTGTAGGAAAATACATAACCTCCTTCAGCATGAAATACTTTCTCATCCCAACATAGAGCATACCCAAATCCAAATAAATAGAAACAAGCTCCTCACATTTAAAATGAGGGCCAAGCAGAATTTTTAGTTTCTGGATGAAGTCAAAAGGTTAAATATATCTGAAAACTGAATAAAATAGAGATAAAGACACCTCCATTTACAATTTTTAAATGACATAATTTATCATGTATCTCAAATCCAAAATAGTTTGAAAAGCCACAAATTTAAAGCATATAAAATAACAGCAGCAACAACAACAATAATAAAGCAATAACAGTAGCAATAAAACAAAGTGATAGGAGGTCAAATGTAAGAAAAAAATTTGGTAGAATTGAGGTAAATGAAGAGCTCAGCAGTAATCCTGGTCCCAGCATGGGTGCTGGCTCTCGCTGGTTTGCAGCTCCAGTCCAAGGCAAGCACATGAAAGAAAGTTCTAGAATTGGAGGCATGACGGAGAACCCTGCTTAGCCTTAGCTGGCTAGGATTCAGGTCTCAGTTGAGGTTTTGTCAGAGGATAGGAAATTAGTTCTATAGATTTATAGAAACTGTCCAAGATTCCTCGACTTCCTGGAATTTCTAGTAAGACCTCCAGATAGTGCAGGAAACAGTTTATAGCATCATGATTTTCCTCTAAAATAACATAAACTATCAATGATATGTCAGAAGTTGGTTTTGGCTTATGAAATATGATATACATGCATTTCATTTTCATTTCATTGAGGAGAGTAAAAATGCTAGGGGGAAGATAGTGCATACGAGAAAAGGTGGAAAAAATGTTTGGCCTTTTTTTTCATTATTCTCAAATTTAAAGATGAGATGACTAAGAGATGACTATCATTACGCTGATAAATTGAAAAGGTCGGCTGACTATCTTACACTCACACCAAGACAGGGGCAAAGCAAAACAAACTTGACTTTCAGCAGAAAAACTCAGATTAATCCAGCTTATATACAGCTTTT